CCCATAGAGAAAGAAATGAAAGCCTCACTCATGCTCTGCCCTCTCCACTCCAGTAGACAAGAGAAGCAGCATCACGTTAATTGAATAAATAAAAACATATAATTTTCAAACCCTATGTTTTCCAGACTTCCAGATAGACATTTGTGGAAATATGTATTTCTTTGTATCTTTATACCTTTGTAGACTGAAAAAAACAACAGGTACTTAACAGGAATGTAAAAATTTATATTTTCATAATCAACGAGACAGGCTGGTTGGTCTGAATTGCTAACCGGAGTGTGTACATAAACTAACAATTAAAAAACAGCACAGACTTAAATCACAGAATGTTCAGGAATTCAACGCAAATATATAGGCTAAATCTATAATCTTTTATTGCACAATATCTTTGCCGTAACAAAAAACTTGAGATGGATTATGCAAAATAACAGGAACATTGCTCTCAGCAAACAATTTGAAGACTGACAGTAATTGTCTTCAAATGTATTGAAAGTGGTCGACTTATTGGAAAAGTGGTGCTGTAATGGTTGTAGTGGCAGGGTTTTAAAGTTAATTAAATTAAACATAAGATGCAGGCAGAGTTAACTGTCGTCAGTGATTCACTGCATTTGGCACAACACTCTGTGAAAAGTTGCATCTCTACAGTCATTCCCTTTAAAGCACCACTGCTAAAAATATTATAGATAAGTCAATCTTGCAATCTACTCTGTCGTACGACTTGACTGACATTGTTCACTGTGTGCATACAGATAATTAATTCTGGGTTAAAAAATATTGTTTAACATCACCAAATTAAACATACTAGGTCACACCAACAGAAAAAAAAAATCAATTAAACATAATTAAAAAATATTACAAAGGGAGATCAAATAATAAAGAATTATAACATACACTACCATTCAAAACATTGGGGTCAACATTTTTAAAGGGGTCATATGATGCTGCTAAAAAGAACATTATTTGGTGTATTTGGTGTAATGAAATCGCATCATATGACCCCTTTAAAAGAAATCTCTTAGGCCCACCAAGGAAACCATGATACATTTTGCAGAACAAAAAGAATAGAAAGTTCAAAAGAACAGCATTTATGTGAAATATTTTGTATTATTATAATATTGTCACATAATTTAATGCATGCTTGCTGAATAAAAGTAATAATTTCTTCTAAAAAATCTCACTGATCACAAACTTTTTATTGGTAATATACATAATGATATACTAAAACTAATAATAATAATAATAATAATAATAATACAGAAAGCAAAATAGAACAACCACAGAACAGCCACAAAACGTTCACATTTGGAGGAAATATTCCCATCTCTATTTTCAACTATATTTAGGCCTACCTTCCACTTCAAAAACTGCACTAATGTTTGGTCAACGTCAAGTCAAGTCAACGTCAACGTCAAGTCAATGTTTTATTTTAGTTTTCACAGATACACTTTATGTGGACTACAGTGTGAAGACAGCGGCTTTGCATGTAGAACTGTGTTGTAAAAAGGCGAAAGCTGTACTTGAGGGACATGTGACTCATCTCTTTCTCCAGCACCTTTAGACACTATGTAGCAGACACCAGGTACACTTTTTGATTTAGTATTCTGTCTCCCCACTCTCTGACTTTGTATCTGCCTCTTCCTCATAGTACGAAACCAAGCAGGACAGCTCAAGAATGTACAGGTCTATGCTACAAAACACCAAGTTAGGTAAAACATAATTTACAATTAAGTAATAGTTATTTAATTTCATCATTGTGTTAGGTGTTGAGTGCGAAAAGGGTGTATAAAGATATAGAATGGTAAAAACATTAAATTAAGTATTAAAAAAGTTGCTGAATAATTTAGAGTGTCAATGTTTTCCCTCCAATGTTTTCTTTCATTAAGTCACACTAAAATTGGAAAGTATTGCCGTATTACAAAGGAGTCCCACAAGGCTCAGGTTTAGGTCCTGTGACTTTTACTACTTTATAATGTTGACGGATCATGTTGTGCAATGTATTGCAAACCGATTTAATGGTATTCACATTTAAAATGTGGATTGAAAGCTTACTGAAAGTCGATTTTTAATCTGGGAAAAAATATCTTGCTGGCATCTTGCTTGATGACATGCTACACTTCCAACAGCAAGTAGAAAACTAATGAGAATTTATCATCAACTGAGGAATTAAACAAGTAGACTACTGAGAATTACACTCCTACATTTCAACAGTCTTACAGTTGTAGTTTATTGGCATGCATGCTTTTTAATGATTACTGTTGGCCAATCACACAGAGTGCACTTTATGATTTAACATTTCCAAGCCAATTTTACACCAAATTCCTCATTATATACAGTATTTCTCTCTTTTTCCAAAGAAATACAAACTCATGAATGGGCAACCAAGCCTAGAAATTCCATCTGTTCATACTGAATTGGAACAAATTTATGCACCATACTCCTATGGTAGCACAACACACTTACAGTATATTATATTCTCTCAATTATGATCAATCTAGAGAGTGCCTTTTTACTGGGGTTTTAATTGCTACTGTAATTATGTAAGTGTACTGTTATATTTATCTTTTTTGATGGAGCACATGGCAACAGTGGAGCATTGCTGATAAATAAATATTGAGCAAATAAGTACATCATGCTAGATAGTGGTTCACATGCTACTTAAGAATCGGACCATGAGGGTGAGTAAATGATGACACAATTGTCATTTTTGGGTGGGTGAATTATACCTTTAATAATTGATTTTATTAATTTCATTATTATTACAATGGAAATATGAAATATTTCTTTAATGAAATGATACTCTAAATAATAAACTAAAACTGCCAGTAGGTGGTGGTAAATGTCTTAATGATTAAGTCATTGAGTCATTTATTCATTCATTTGATTCGTTCAAATGACTGATTCATTCAGGAGTGAAGTAAATGGTTCTTTATGAATGGTCCATTGAATCATTAGGCTTGAAGCAGATCATCACCATCAGATCGATCAGTGTGTGACATCAAAGTACCGCGAGAGCGATTAGAGAGCAGATGGCTCCTTATGCTTTTGAATCACTCTCAACAGTTCTGCTTTGTCTTTATATTTTCGTTGGCAAAATTGAGCAAAACAGACAACATTGTGTCTAAAATAACACAATATTAACTTATTATTTACTGAACTGTTGTATAAGATCAGTATCACATTTGCACTTGTGTGATATTGCACTCATTGCTCGTGTGATATTGCTTAACTATATGATGTAAACATGAGACAAAAACTCAAACAGGGGCATTTTTGCCCCATATCTTGAATTTTAGGGACATTCTAACTACATTCTTTAGGCTCATCACGCAGTGAGTTGTTGCCCTGCCTCATATTTGTCATCAATCAGCTATATGAAATAGGTCTGGGTCCCACATAGGTCTGGGGCGGGGCAAGTGCGTTAAATGCGTTCATAATTTTAACGCGTTATTTTTCACTGTAATTAATTAATCTAATTAATGCGTTAAATTACCAGCCCTAATATATATATATATACACACACACACACTTTAATTTTAAAACAAATAAAATAATTAGAAGTCATTGTATACTGAATCAAGTGTAAATACATCAGAAAAGTAACTGTGTAAGTCTGCCTGTTTACAATTACTCCCAATGACTTGTAAATCTAAGATTTTCAAGAACTACTTAATTTACAATGCTTCTGGGAAACAGTCCGTAATTCTATGACGATTTGCACGGCCTTTTTTACAATCCACTTACGGTTGCGATGCTTTCGGGAAAAGTGGGACCATTCTGCCTAAGGTCCTTCATAAATCTATTCAGCTCTTTGAGATCTGTTAGAAAAGCCTGTGATAAGGGGCTGGTCAGTAGTTATTAGTTCTGAATTGGGTGAGTTCATGTCTTGTGATGTGAAGAGAAGAGCCACAGTATCTCTGACTGCAGAGCACCGCTCGTTCATGCACCTCCACGGCACAGCACACCTAATAGGACTGAAGCAGCATGAAGGAAATGTGAAAATCAACTGAAGGGTGAAGGAAATGAATTGAAAGAAGGAAGAAAAAATAGAGTCCTGCAGGAAGATGCTGCAGCCTCTGATAGATGAATGATTCACTGTCTCCAAACTATATCTGACTGCCATGTTCTGACAACATATTTCAGCCGCACCTGAGGGGACAGATTGAAATTGAACATGCTCAGGAGAGACGGGAGGGAAAGCTGGTACAGGACAGAGGAAATACTAGTCGTGAATTATGAATTCATCACAGAGAAGCACTCAGAGACCTGATTCGTCATCAGAGCTCATTTAAGCAGGCTACTACTGTAATTAATGATACAACGACTGACAATGATTGAAACTGTAATTTGCCACACAAGTCTTTAAATATGTGATAATGGCTTCGTGAAAAATTCATGCTTCTTTTTTGAGTCTCCATAGGATGAGTGGTAACATTAGTGGCTCTCAGCCACAATGATAGACTTCAGTTCCCAATCAGCAATACAAATGACTTTGACTCAAGCAGTGATGAGCAAATTACCAATCATCAGAAAGATGGAGAGTAAGAAAGGTCAAAAAAGTTTTTATCTCTCCTTTTTCAAAACACAAGTTTTTCCATTCCTGTTGCTTCTCAAGAAAATGCCCTACATAGGGACTCAATGTCACAAGGGAAAATTGTCAAAAAGGCAAAATATTAAATGTAACATGCTATTTAATAGCAGATTCCCATCATGACAACTTACCCCAAATAGCCACAAAAGGTCAATGTGTGGTAGCAAACTCTTTCTTTTTTTTTTTTTTAACAAAAAGCTCTCAAGATTTGTGTCCATACAGAAATTGACTTTCCAAAATAAACTAAAAAGTGTGACAAATAGCCCCTTTATCACCCACACCACTTTCATGTCTTAGACACAGTTTAATTTCCCCCAAAACTGCACTCAAAACAAAGCTTACACTACTTGTTCTGTCAAAAAGGCAATACCTTTCACAAAGTAACCATCTTATTAATTATTCAAAGTCCTACCTTTCTGTAAACCAGCATGTTTGGTGAGTCGTCCGTCTCTCCATTGCTGCTTGGATGGAGGCTGTTGTTCTTCGCCATGATTCAAAAACTCTGCAAAACAGCTACTCCAGTGGATATATGCACCTGATAGGGAGAAGCAAGGCACACACACACACACACACACACACACACAATGATACACCTCGTTGCTTAAAACATCAAAACTTGCATGATATACAGTATTACTGGACAGAAATCAAAGATGCTACAACAATGCAGAACTGATCAGTTGGCAATGTCTTTGTGATCATCCCACCTAATTGTGTCATTTGTAATTACAACCATGTTTTATCAACGATATTTTAGTGAAAACCAAAATGCATAGCTATCATTTGGATTACAATCATATTTGGCTGTCTTAAAATCATTTATCAGCTGGTGGTCGAGGATTTTCCTCTCAAGGTTAAAAGGAACCGGTTCAAAACTTGCATGATATACAGTATTACTGGACAGAAATCAAAGATGCTACAACAATGCAGAACTGATCAGTTGGCAATGTCTTTGTGATCATCCCACCTAATTGTGTCATTTGTAATTACAACCATGTTTTATCAACGATATTTTAGTGAAAACCAAAATGCATAGCTATCATTTGGATTACAATAATATTTGGCTGTCTTAAAATCATTTATCAGCTGGTGGTCGAGGATTTTCCTCTCAAGTTTAAAAGGAACCGGTTTTTAAGTAAACGCTGAAAATCTGATGACAGCAGATCATAGATCAGACACACTTTTCAGTTTTGTAATATCGGTGGGACAGCCAATTAAATGCAAACACTGTTCCACCTCGCGCTGCACCCGTATGTCATGCATGCGAACGCTTTATGATGTGTCAAGCGAGATTCGCTGTATTATCTTGCTTCAAACTGCCAGGAAGCTAATATTCGTGTAACCAAAAATGCAGTCTTGCACAGCCACCCGATCCTTTCAGAACCACAGACAGCTCCTCAGGCGGAACTGCAGCCCTTGCACGAGTCCTCAGAAACCTGGCATCACCAATAAAATGCACAACACAATCATAAAGCATCACTTCTGTTCACTCTCACCTCAAACACGCCCCGTCTCCCCCTGATGTATGGATCAAGCTCCTGCAGTTCGTCAGCTATCAGACGTATCATTCATTGGAAATATTAGTGATCCTTTGCTTGATGCTGACGCGTTATCGCGCGCAGGGATTCTGCTGAAGAACGGGGCACGCGCCAGCGACAAGGGCACGCGCATCCAACCTCGAACCGATCCTGGAGTCTACACAAATAGGAGGGAGTGCTTTTCTTTGAGGGATTTGGCATTTTTGTTTTGTAAATAGTTTAATTATTTCTAATTATATCACTCAATAATAATAATAATAATATAGCATAAAATATTACATTGCTTAATTATTAATTTGTGTTAATTAAAATATTTTTTATAAAATTTGTATTATTTAAAATATTAAACGATTGAACTACTATTTTATTAATATAAAAAATATTACATTATTATTTACATTTTGCAGACACTTCAGTTGTCCCAAATTGTATACATTGTATTCAATCACATTTTATCAGTTTTCTTGTTTTCCTGTTAACCATTACCTTGGCATTGTTAGCTCCATGCTCTACTGTTTGAGCTACAGGAAAGCTATTATTATATTAAACAGTGGTAATCTGTTGAAAAAAAAATAGTTAAAAAGAATAGCTAAATGTATGACAGGCAGCTATTGGGAAAGTGATAAAATCTACTTTTGTCTGTCTCCAGGTGGCATTGCCTAGAACAGACACACAAAAAATAGAAATACAAACTGATAATCTTGCTCAAAATGTGTATTTTAAAGAATTGCACTCTCTCCTGGTCTCAAACCTGAAATTTCCACTTGTTCTGTATATACACTATACTTACACCCTAAAAATTTCAGGGCTGAGACCCGAATCTCAGGTTTTGCAATAACAATGCATAGAGTTAATCAAAATTATAAATGGTCAACCAACTCTACTGGACCACTTGAGATGGACTGTTTAGCCCCTCACACAGTTGTTCTTTAACATTGTCCAATGAGAGTAAAGCCCTTCAGAGGCCCCTTGCATGTAATTTTCTCTTAACACTACTTGGCAACAAAGCCACTACAGTTCTTAAACATCTGTAGAACCCACAACACAATGTTGCAATGGATGTTAAAATTAACCTTTGCCAATATTTTAATCATTCTTTGAGACCGATTTCCTTAAGGGTGCTCTTTAGAGCCAGTGTACTATAATCAAGAATTTTCATTTCTATTCTCGGTGTATGGTAAAAGGATAACAGATAGGACATCTAACGTAAAGGTTAAAGTCACCATTAACTACACTGCTCCCCCTTCCAAGTGTGTATTAACAATCTAATGCACACTGCAAAACGGACTTTAGGGCAAATTAAGAAAATCTAAAACAGATGTGGCAGAACATCTGCAGCTGTTGTTCATTGTTTAGCAATGCATAAACTTTCTGTTGCATCATCTTTATTTATTTTTTTATTCATTCTTAGGACGAGACACAGACTACACGACAATACGTTAATTTAAAAAAAAAAAAAAAAAAAATGTACCTGTGCACCCATCCATTGAAGAGCATTTTACATCTTCAGATAAAAAACGTTTCCAAATTACCTGTTTCAAACTCAATCATTCCTGTACGCAAACAGCATACAATGCAAGCGACGAGCAGCTCCGCCCTGTGACCCTGTTTGGCGCTGAGTCAGTAGTCCAATCAGTAAACGCAGAAGGCGGGCCAAACCAGAGTCTTTGTCCAATCAGTGGCCAGTCGTGCCATCAATCAAAGGTGACTGACATCGTCCCTAGTCCGAAAGGGACAGGCGAAGAGGAAAACAATACATAAATTTTTAACACAACGGAACATCATGTAGAGAGAAGACAATAGCTGAAACCAGTGGTTATTCGTCAAATAACGATGTCATTTTGCAACCTTGTGGATATCAGGAAGCATGCGTTAAAAAAAGGAACTCAGTGGTTGAGTTTTAGCGGTTGGAGAAACGAGACAGAAGTTATTATTAGTTATAGTTTATTTGAATAGTTTATGCCTCTGGACTGGACCTGCATCGAACCTCATAACTTAAAAGTGCAACAGGTTGGAAGATGGTGTCTTGGATTATATCTAGGGTCATCGTGTGAGTATTTACTGAAAACTATTTGCGTTTCTGAGCTTAAAGTAACGTTACATTAGTAAAACTGCTGACTGCGCATTAGTTCATACGGACAACATCTATGCACACTGTACTGTCTCTATATCTACAATGTTACAATACAAAACAATATTATGAGTACATAAAACAAATTGTAGTTTATTTGTTGTTGGTCAGGATTAGGTGGGGGGGATGCATAAAGTATGATGTTTTGTCCCCCAATATAATAAATAACACTGTTACAGTTACTAAATTTCTGCAGTATTCTTATTTTTTATATTTTCACTTTCAACAAGGTTCCCACAGTCCTGGAAAATCTGGAATGTACCATTTAAAAGCGTAATTTCCAGGCCCAGAAAAGTAATAGAAATTAATACAATTTTAAAAGGTCATGTAAATGTTTACAGTCAATATAAGTGTATAGTTATGCTGATTATTTAGTATTTATTTATTTAGTAGGCTGGAAACTACTGTTTTTGTGAGTGCACAAAAACCTTATTCAGCCATCACAAATCATAGGAAAAGTAATGGAAAAATCTTGGAAATTCACTGGTAAGAAAGTTTAGGAACCTCTGAATCAACCATAATAAAAATTCACAAATTATGCAGAAGAAAAAAAAAACCTACATCAATTTCGCTGACGTAGTGGAGTAGAGCAGGAAATTCATCATGTTTTTGGCTGGAGACCTGCTTTATTCAAAGTCCCTGTCTGCCTGGGAGGAACTGCTGTTTTCCTGCTAGACCGTAATGTTACAGTAGGTGTGTCCCTTTCTTTGCGGAAAAGGTCAGCACAGCAAAGCACATTCTGTGCCTCATCTCACTAGGTGCTGTTTGCTGTGGGTTTGGTTATCTTTAGTGTACTGACAATATAAGAGATAAAGGTCTCTGGTTGTCACTGATAGAAATACATTTATATATAGTAGGTTATAGTCAGTTTCAAAGTCTAAAGGTCTTTTTAAACTCCTTTTGTGTTCTTACTGTAAGTTAAAATGATGAATTATTCACCATCGGCAAACAAGGCCTAGCTGTTTTAGAAATGTGCAGTAACATCTCACACACACACACACACACACACACTCATTCCTAATTCTTTCCCTTCTTTTTTTACCCTCACGAGTTCTCCCAGAGAACAGCGTAATAGGAAATGCATGACTAAACCATTGTGACTCTAATGTGTTCTCACAGCATTCGATGTTTAAACACTTTCTTCAGACTAGTAGTAAAAGCAAGACAGGCTGTGTTTGGAAATAGTGACTTGGTGATGCTGCAGTTGTTTAATTACAAACAGTTTTACTGTTTTAAGTTAAGAGATGATCTCTGCTCTTGACTTCAGCACTTATTTTGCTTTATGGTAGAGATGTTTTAGAGTGGAGAAACGTTACACAATAAATGGAATCCATCCAACAGTCCCTCACCACACACACACACACACACCCATGATCACACATAACTTTAGACGGTATCAGGCAGTGATGTCGTTCCCATAGCTACTCGAAAATAAATGGATCAGGGAAACGCAAGCCAGTTACAGTGAAAGCGGTGAATTTACTGTGTGTATGTACTGAATTGAACACCTCTTTGAAAAAAAACAACAACGGGATTTCAGTTTCACCCGTCACAATAAATAGAGCATTTTGAGTGATCAGTGTTCCAGTTTAATATTTGAGTAGGCCTGTAACCAAAGGCAAAGGCTGGATTTGCCATCTGGGTGGATTATCATCAAATATAAGATTGTGCATAGGGATCCACCGATATTCAAATTATGGTTGATTAGATAAGCTGATAATTGTTTTATTGTCATGGCTAATAATTTTCATGTAATGGCCGATAATTGATAAATGACAGAATTCTACAACATTTTGTCTAAATGCATTTAAAATAAAATGCTTAAAACTAAGATCAGTCAATTTAAATGCTAAAAGTGAATTTAGTCATGTACAGTAGGAAAAAAGGATATTAACTTCAAGATTTGCTAAAAATTACATTTAACAGTGTTACTAAGTTATTTAATGTGTTTATATTAAATTAAGTTATTAGTATTTTTAAAGACTAAGTGTTAGATGAAGGCAAAGATAATCCAAATGCAAAAATTAATTTTAAAAATCTATAATATCTATAACCTATATAGATATATTTGTATATCTTACATTTTTATATCAGTGTATCTAAATTTTGATTGGTTGGGCACTGAACTGTTCGCCAACCTTTATTTGTTTGCTTGCTTATAACAGGTGCATGATATTTTTTAATATAAATCATGTCTTATGTGTACTGTATGTATGTGTGTGTTTTATCACAGTCTTTTGTTTGGAACACTGTATCCTGCATACTACTCCTTTAAAGCCGTCAAATCCAAGAATGTCAAAGAATATGTGAGTACTCAATTCATAAATGCACATGCATATCTTCATCCATGTTCTACTGATTCTTCACATCTATTTGAGTTTAGAGAATGTTAATAGCCAGAATAGATGGAGAGCCCCAGCTAAACTGTCTGTATATCCTGGTTACTCTTTGTATCTGATGGAGGCTGTCAGTAACTAAACCCTGAGCTGTTGAGCAATTTAATACTGTTCTTCCACCATGTGTGCCCTGTTTGTGCTTTGTGTACTTCCTTTTCTTTCCTTACAAAAAATACTGTGACTGTACCGTGGTACAGTGATGTGATACCATTGTACTTTGATGTATATCATATAGTGAATGAATAAAATTCATATATTATAGTACGTACATGGTAAGTTTTTGTAAGTAGCACTTCTATACCTCTAACAGGCATTTTGTGTTTGCGTTTGTGGTTTGACAGGTGCGATGGATGATGTACTGGATTGTGTTTGCTCTTTACACAGTGGTGGAGACCATCACAGACCTTTCTTTGGCTTGGTAAATATACACACACAGTCTGGAAAGAGGCAAATGAATAATTGTTAATGGATTGCA